AGAATCAATATAAGCTAGGAAATACTGGCATAAGTTATTATACTAACATATAATATTAGTTGTATGGTAATTATATAGGAAACCATATTGGAATACATGTTTAAGTAACAACACATGTGAAGATGAATTAAGTGAAAATATGAAACTAATATAAACTTTATATAATATAAATGATTATGAAAATCGGTAGGATAAATTATATTGTATTGTTATACATGTTATATTAAAATATGTATAAGAGTTAATGCCTGAATTTATATGAGTTGAAAGGTGATCCTAAGAAAATAAAGAATAAGTTTTATGATATAATTTATGTGATTACATGTATGTATTAATATATCTTGCTAGCATTATATGTTATGTGATATGAATTTATGTGATATGTGTTATAAGACAAGGATCTAAGTGAACACATAAAAATGTTACATGAATCATGTGATATATGCTATGAGATATGACCCATGTGACTACATGTGAAATGATATAAGTTATGTGATGATTTGTGTGACTATGTGAATATGTGATAAGAATAAATGATAACGCCCATGTTATGTGATATGAGAGCTAGGGTATAGTTGGCATGCTAAGAGTCGAGGGTTCTATGTGGTCATTCGGGACAAATATGTGGTCCTTCAGGACAAATTCTATGTGCACCTAGTGGGATTTTATACGAGCTGTGGTGACAACATTAGTGTACAACCTCAATTTACTCACATATATTTAGTTCTCACAAGTATACCATGGGCAAATAAAAGATATAACATAATAAGAAGCCTTGTGTGATATTATGTGTTTTGCTGTGTGAAATGTATGATCTGATGTGTATAAATGTTAAGTACAAAATTAGATGATAAAATAAATTAAGGATAATAATATTGATAATTATAAGAAGATGAATGATCGATTTGATGAGATATGTGTCGGTATGTATTTGCTACATGAAATAGTACATGATTTTTGTATGATATGATGATCTGAAATGAGATTAATGATGAGATATGGGTATGTCTACATTTGATCATATGAATATTCCATGGTCTTGTGTGATATCATAGTATGAAGTGTTAATGCAATTTTTAAGTATTTAGAGTTCTATTATATGTTATTGCCTCACTAAGTTATCGACTTAGCGTGTGAATGTTTCAAACGTAGGTTTTGAGAAGGTTAAGGAGCAAAGAGGGTTAGAAAGGTCAGTTTCTCCTTTCTGAAGATCAGAACAGAAAATAATATTGCTTAGTATGTATTTGGTTATAATAAAGTAGTTGGCATGTAAACAAAGATTTGAACAAGCTTTGCTCTGATCAGTTTAAATAAATTTTTTTATCGTTGTAATTAATGTAAATTATTAAATTTTATTTTTAATATGAATTGAAATTTTTGTTCATGTGTAAAAGTAATGTCTTGAAAAATCAATGTGACACCTCGGATTCGTATCCGGGTCGGGTACGGGTTGGGGGTGTTACATTTAAACACTCCTATTAGCTAAATAATATATATGGTATATTAAATAATTAACAATTTTAGTAAATTTAGTTAATTAACCGATTTCAAACTCAATTAACCGATAACCGAAGTTTAAAAAATCATTAACTATTAATTGATGAAACCTAAAATTAATAAAATTGATTAACCCAAAAAATTTCGATTAATTCAATTAATTCGTTTTTAACTTAATTATGAACACACTTTGGAAGAGCAGAGATTTATTTCTCACCTTAAAAAGGAAGGGAGCCTTGATTTGATGCATTTGTATTATTAATTCAAGCATGTTGGGCGTTTGAATTTTAGAAAGTTTGTCATAGTAGATACAAATCAAATGATGATTTAACAAGATTATAAGTTACCAAGGGATGAACATATGCGGGTGGGTAGAGCGGTAATCCTTTCAAAAATTTAAAATTATTATATATTTTAAAATATTTTATATATTTTTTATTAAGAAGATATTCTTGTACCTTAAAATTTTATAATTTCAAATTTACTCCTTAAAATTTTTATAAATTTAAATTCATTCTCTAATATAAAATTTCGTTCCTGATATCAATTATGAACCGAACCTCGTAATGGATGCCTTGACAAAATTATGTAAGGACAACCTACCGGACATTTTCTCCGAGGAATCACTCGTACTTACTGACCAATTTATGTTTCTTTGTAAGCAAAAAATATATATTTTTTCCTACATTAATTTATTATTTGTTTATTAAAGGGATAGGCTGGCTAAGGTCATCATAAGTGTCATTTTAAGCAATAGGTCAAAAGAAAATGCCTAGAAATCATAATGATCTTAAACTAATTATGTGAATCACGGTATTAATCATGTTTAAAGTAGTCAAAATATTGTGTTTTATCAACTATATACGAGATTTATGCATTTACAATATCAGTGGCGGAATTTGGTGATAGAGTTTGGAAGGGTTAACTTAAAATGTTAAAAAATTCAGAGGTTTAAATTAAAATTTTTAAAGGATTGAGTTTATATTTTCTAAAAATTAGGATCTAACTAAAATTTTTAAAATTTTGAGAGGATTAATGAGAATTTTTAAATATTATCGAAGGGGTTTAATTAAAAACATTAAAGAAATTAAGGTTTAAACTATTAAAAAAAGGCATAAAAGTAAGTGAGGTGCATGCACGAGTGTAGTTAGAAAAGTTCAAAGTTAAAGTGTGAAAAACTCTGGTACGCTGCATGTTCCATGTTTGTTACTCCTTACTCTTTGATTTACTATTAAAATAATATTTATTTTTATTTATTTATTTATAAATAAAGTATTAAACTTCACTTTGTTTAATTATAAGTCCAGAATTCAAATGGTTTGAGAAAATTGATTCAATAACATGTATTAACTAGGTTTCTTTTATTGGGAATAATTTAAATTATGTATTATAAAAAATTTATTGTTGGGATGAGTTTCTTAATTTATTTTATTTCACTTGTGTCGGATTCAAATATTGAATTTTTTTAAAGTACTATAAAAATTTGTTACCGAAATATAAAACCGTCACGAGAGTTTAATAAGGTGATATGGATGAAGAAAGAATCAAAAATTGATAGGCACAAGCAACGATAGATCTAGAAATTTAAAAACGAGGATCCAAAATGTTAATACTCTTTTTTCTAACAAAACAAGTATGTATTTTTTTCTTCTTTAACACGTTAAATTAAATTTAATAATTTATTTAAAATAATGTGGATGCGCTTACACAAATTTAAATCTAAAAATTAAAAGAAACATATGCCTTATTTAATTTATATTTAAACTAACAAAACCTAAAATACCATTCTACCAAAATATTTGAGTCGACACAGCCCTTTCTACCCAATAAATGACTCCTTCCATGTGAAGTGACACATGTTTTCACAAGGTCTTTGTGTTTTTTGGGTAAACTACATATTTAGTACTTAAACTATTAGTTTTGGTCTGTTTTAGTATCTAAATTTCTAATTTTTTCAAAATCATACCTAACGTTTAGTTTAGTTTTAGTACCTCGCCGTTGAAAACTTAATGTGTGATTTGCATCTGGCACATTTTTACGGATAAATTGCATCATTCATCATCAACTATCTTCTTACTCTTATATTGGTCACTAATTTTTTTTAATTTAATTACTTAACTTTCAAATTACTCCTAATTTAATCACTCTAACTTTCAAATTTTTTATTATTATTTTTAATTATATATAATAAGATAATAATAAAAATTTCATGTCACAAAAATTATTAATAAAATAAATTGGAGTGATTAAAATAGGAGCAATTTGAAGTTGTTTTAAACTTTAGTACCAAAATAGGAGTGAGAAGATAGTTGAGTGATAAATGATGTAATTTACCCGTAAAAAACTACAACATCATTAAGTTTTTAATGAAGAAGTACTAAAATGAAATAAAAACTAAACGTTAGGTATAATTTTGAAAGCGTTGAAAGTTTATGTATTAAAATAAACTAAAATTGATAGTTTAGATACTAAATACGTAATTTACCCTTTTTAAACTAAGACAATTCAACAATATTTAATCTTGATTATATCCTTAAAGATATAAATCTCATGCTGGACACAACCAGTAAAATAGATAACTAACATAAAGAAATTCGTATTTCAAGGTGAACAAATACCTACATACTCTAAAAATAATCTACATTTGACACTGATAAGGTCCTTATATTTTTAAAATTAAATAATTTGATCCTCTTTATATTTAATCTAAATGAACACATCAAGTGTCCTCAGTAATAAAAGAAATATTATTCCTCCCCAGAGGTATTGAGTTCGAGCAACTGCGTTTGTAGGGTGTGTGTTGTCAATAGCTTAAGAAAGTTTTAAACAAATACTATATTGTAATCTATACTCTTAATTTTTTTAATTATATCTATTGTTATTACTTTGGGGTAAATACAAGGCAATATTCGTTCATAACTCTCAACCATTTGACATTGAACGTTCACACCCATGACATTCATAATACTTGAATATGAGACATGAAAAAATAACAACAATTCATTTACTATCGAAGTGGCTTTATTCCTGCTTTTAAATATATTATAATCAAGATTTGAACCTAAAACATTAAAGTGCGGACCCATAATCTTAACCAATGAAAACCAAGATGAGAGATGAAGGGTTGAGATTGAAGAATGAGGAGATTCTTTGACACCACAATAAAAATTGCCAGCCTAAGTGAGCTACTCCCATTGGCAGCATGGCTGCACACACAAGCCAAGTGTTAGGGGGTTTAGGCCCATTTCTGTTTCCTTCTCAATTAACTCAACACAGTTAAATTTTAACCCAACCACCACCACCACTCCTTCCTCCTCCATCTCCCTTTTTAAAACCTCTCCCATTTTTCTCATTCCACCCTCCCTCTTGGTTTTTGGTAAACCACCAAGACTACCCAGGATTCATCATTTTCACACCACATACAACATATACATATATACATATATGTGTGTGTAATGTAAGTGTGTTGTATAAGTGGAGAAAGAGCTTGACATTGTTGAAAAATGAAGAGGTCTCCAAGTTGTTCTTCAACCAATTCTTGCTTTGTATCTTCATCTTCTCCATCACCATCATCGTGTTCTTCTTCTTCTTCATCGGACACGCCTCCTATCGTACCGGAGAAACCCAAGGCTAAAAGGAGTAGAAAGAACCAAAGCTGTGATCAGAACAACAATGCCAATACCAACAATGGCAGAAGGAGCTCCATTTACAGAGGAGTCACCAGGTTTTTTTTTTCTTCTAATTTTTATCATTTAATTAGTGAAATTAATTATACTGATTTGGGTTGATTTTCATTCCATGTATGAGTAAAATTACACAGGCATAGATGGACTGGGAGATTTGAGGCTCACCTGTGGGACAAGAGCTCTTGGAACAATGTGCAGAACAAGAAGGGAAGACAAGGTTAATTTTACTTCTCTTTTCTTAAATTGAATTATTAAATGAAAAAAACAGAAAATCAAGGAGAACTGTGTGATCTTTTGTTTATTATTATTATTTTACTTTATTGAGAATTTTCTTTCAAGTTTTATGTGTTTTGTGTACCGACTCTTTGTTTTTATTCATTTGGTCAATCCCTCAACGCTATTTGCGCTTTTTGGTTGCCGTCTCCGCAGTTTATTTAGGTAAGTCCTTCTATCTACTTGCATTATTTAATTTAAGTAAATATATTTTTAAATTATCTTTTTTTATATAATACATGTGGAGGGATTTTTCGATTGTACGGTCCGTCGGAACCCGTAACGATTAGATATCGTATTTTCACGGTGATACTGTTGACGAGTTCCTAAATTTTGTTCCCGTACCCTCTAAGCATGTCTCATGAGTGGCTCGAAAAAGTAGGGCATGGTTTGAAGATTGTGTGGGGTGTCAAACGTTTATCGCGACTTAACTCCGAGCACCGAAACACCGTGCAATGACATGACTAAGAGGTTGACGGTGTCTAGAATTTGAATGTAGAGCTGAGAAAACTTGGAGGACCCATTGGTGAACAATGTAGAGAGTCGAAATTAAGGGATGAACCTGTGACCATCTATCCATTATTCACCAATTGGTCGTTCAAGCTTCGTCGGTTCTACAATCAAGTCTTCAACATCGTTAAACCCTTAATCAAGTCATTCTATGATATTCTTATGTCCAGAGATAAATCATAATAGACGTTCTACATTCTATTAAGTGTCCTCTCTTTTCGAGACACTCTCGAGACTCGTTTTTAGGGTTTGTATCACTTTGAGAATACAATATTTGATTATTTGATATTTCAATCAATCTTACAATTGAAAGATCTCTCAACAATTATAATTACACTTAAGTACAATTGAATTCATAATTATAATTATTATATGTGAAATGCAGGGGCTTATGATAACGAGGAGGCAGCTGCTCGAACCTATGATCTAGCTGCCCTCAAGTATTGGGGGCCCGAAACTACTCTGAATTTTTCGGTATTTAATTAAAACTATTAATAATTTATTTTTATTGTTAATTACAAAAAAATGGGTATTTGTGAGAGAAAGAAAAGACCATTACTTTAACGATGCAGAACGAAAGATACGAAAAAGAATTGGAAGAAATGAAGAATGTGACGAAGGAAGAGTACTTGGCTTCTCTACGACGTCGTAGCAGTGGATTTTCCAGAGGAGTCTCCAAGTACCGCGGGGTAGCTAGGTACTTATTCTTATTTAATTATATAAATATTATATAATCTTATAAAAATCTTAAAGATTAAATCAAAAATTGAATATGAAATTTATTCGAGTTTTGACCTATATCTTTTCATTTAAAAAATATTATTTATATTTATTCGAGTTTATTCTAATAAATATAAATAATATTTTAATATGATCTATATTATTTATTCGAGTTTTGCACGTCCTTTTCATAATTTAATATGATTTATATTTATATTTATTTATATTAAATCAAAAATATTATTTATTCGAGTTTTGCACGTCCTTTTCATATTTTAATGTGATTTATATTTATTTACATTCTAGGCAAATTAAAAATATTTAACCACTTTTATTTTTCTTCTTAGGGTAAATTACAAATTTTATCACCTAACTTTATTGTCTCTCTTATTTTACTCACAGAACTTTAAAAGTTTTCGCTTTTATCACTGAACTTAATATATTGGATTTTTTTGGTACTTCGCCGTTAAATAATTAACAGTGTTGCAATGACACTATTTTTAAAAAAACAAAATTTTCACTAAAACGACATCATTTTGCATCTATATAACAATCCATTTTAATGCTGTTAGTGAGAAAACAACCGAGTGAACAAAAAAACTCAATGTATTAAATTTAGTGAGAAAATTAAAAAGATTTAAAATACAGTAAGTGAAATACGAGAGAGATCAAAATTTAATTGCCAAATTTGTAATTTACCGTTTTTCTTAAACAAAATAGATTTTAAAATATATATACCACGTGAGTTTGGTAAAATGATCAATTTCAATGGACCCTCTTCAATATTTTTGTTTTCTATGTATTTATAGAGTAGGGTTTAGGAGTCCGAGAGGTAATTAATTGAGGTGTTATATAAAATTAAATTTAAACATTATTTAAAATTATATTATTAATTAAACGGATTAGATATTACATAGATCCATTTTATTTTATTTTCAAATTTTTTATTTATAATATAAAGTTAAACACTTAATTTTTCTAAAAAGATGTAATGTTTTATTTTAGGGTAAATTTCACATTTAGTATCTAAATTATTAGTTTTAGTCTGTTTTAATACATAAACTTTCATAATTTTCAAAACCATATCTACGTTTAGTTTTTGTTTCATTTTAGTACATATCATTAAGAACTTAACACGTTTAGTACATAAACTATTAGTTTTGATATTTTTTACAGGCATCACCACAATGGGAGGTGGGAGGCTCGAATTGGTCGAGTTTTTGGGAACAAATATCTCTATTTAGGAACCTATAGTAAGCTCTCTCTAGATCCCTTATTCTTTTTTAATTTTATATATTTGTAATTTTTTAAATATATTTTAAAAAATTGAAATTTGGGTATACATTATATATATTATCCATCCGAACCAAAAATAAAATAAAATAATTGTAGGGGGAGATCTTGGCACTTAATATATAGTCCCAATGATGTTAATATGGTAGGATCCAATGTCTGTCATTTAATTAATTTGCAAGACTCCATGGACCATTTTAATATTAAAAAACAGTGAAAGTCCCTTTCTATAATATTAAATATAGTAGGGTTAATATTTGTCAATAATATTTAGGGAAGAAATAAAAAAATTTAAATTACAATATCAAAATTTAAAAAATATCTATATAGGAACTTTTATGTAGGGTCGATTTTCTTTTTAATATATGTCAAAATATATTTTTAGAAAATTTAGATTCTTTTAGGAAAAATTACAATTTTAGTATTGTATTAGTTTAAAACTGTATAATTTTTAAAGAAATAAATTATAAATTATTATTTTGGGTTAAACTGTAATTTTATTATTTTATTAATTTAAAATATTTTAAGGGACTAAACATCAATTTTACCATATAATTATCACTCAAATGCTGTCACACGCTGCTATGAATGTCAAACTGCTTTGATATTTTCTCTCGACTTTTAATTCTTAATTTAGAAATGGCATTTCTGTAATTAAGCTTCATATCTCTGTCTTGATTCAAAACTTTATTTATTTATTTTTAATTTGCATGAAAATGGTGGCAGCATGGCACGTGACCATTACTCTCCCATTAACAGATTCTGTTGCGTTTTAAATATATATATATAGATAATATTTGCCGAGTAAGAGGCAGCAGAGATCACGTGACTTGGTGAGAAGATTAGGGTTTGCTTTAGGTCACCTAAATGACACTCTAATCCCCCTTTAGGGGAATCGGACACGAGCCTTCCTATTTATAGAATTTAATTTCAGTTTGATGAATTTGGATTGGTTGAACCAAAGGCACGTGACTTCCTTTCCCTTTGTTAGTCTCATTCTCAATTTGAATGATTAGGGTTTTAGGGTTCGGATGTGGCACAACGACCTGTCTCATCGGGTACCTCTAGGAATGGAGTTATGATGGAGTGAAAGACAAGAAACACTAAACCCAATTTTTCTTACTCCCATGCTTGGTCTGAATAATTAAGGTTTAGGGTTCAGTTGTGGTATCTCAGCCCGTCTCACTAGATGCCACTAGACAAAAAAGTTGGGACGGGGAGACCCCTCCCAAACTGCATGTGGTTCCGTCGCTGGGTACCTCTCACCGTGTTTCGAAACATGGAGTGAGATCGGTCCGATCGATGCTTTGTGTCGTCGAGTGCCCTCCATCATGCTCTCAGATGGTAGCTTAAACAACATTCTGTCATGTATATGATTACCAACATGTTACTCCCCTCAAGAATCCGGATTCGTATGGAACATCATATATTTATTCAAATTCGAGATTGAGTGTCAAATATGAATGTATGAGTGCATGCATTGTAACATCATATAGTTATTTATGTTTTATTTTTATTTTTTGAAGACACACAGGAGGAAGCAGCAGCCGCGTATGATATGGCAGCATTAGAGTATAGGGGGATCAATGCTGTGACCAATTTCGATGCTAGCCGTTACATAGACCGTTTGAAGCAGAAAGGTATTGTGTTTGTTGATCAAACGCAAAATCGAATTCCCGATTCCGATGAAGCTCGACGAGCCGAATCCGTAGGAAACGTACAATTTCAGCCTCCGGCGCCGCCGCAAGAACAAAAACCGAGGCACGAAGAATCCGAAAAATCTGAACATTTTCAGTACATGCAAATGCAGCTTCCTCTATGCATCGACTGTCCGACCGATAGCAATGAGCTAGCATGGAGTTTCTGCATGGATTCGGGGTTGACATCGTTTTTGGTCCCGGACATCCCTCTCGATGGAAACAATGAATTGCCGAACTTGTTCGATCATGCTACGGGGTTCGAGGATAACTTCGACCTGATATTCGACCTAGGTTCACCTAACAAAGAAGAGGCTGATCGGAAATGTGTATCGGATGATGCAACCGAAGTCGGTGTCTCGATGAACATGGAAGACAAACATGGGAAGGTGAGGTTGTCGTCTCCGTCTTCGGATTCGTACTCTCCGTATTCGTCGACGACCTCGGTTTCTTGTAACTACTCTGTTTAGTTGCTTGTATTTGGAGTCTGTTGTTGGAAATTAGTTGTGGATTGATGCCCAAGATTCAACTTATCTTTGCTTTTTTGGTTGTTATTTTCTTATGAATTACCTTTGTTTAATTAAATTAAAAGAAAAAGAAGAAGAAACTATTTTAATTTGTTTGATCCTATAATCTCATCAAATATAATTATTAAATTAATTTTTTAATCTAAACCATAATTTTTATAAAATTTTATTTGATGAGATTAAATTTATACTTATATGATTAATTTATACAAATAGCTTTGCAATACCATATATGACAAGAATACAACACATACAAAATAATTAAAAATGTTAAAATTTGTAAAAAAAAATCATTTATATTATCAGATGAATCTATAATGCATATCGCGTACCGAAACACACCATTAACGTAATACACCGAAATACACCACTAAATGAATTATTCTTGTTAAGTAAATATTAAAGAATTCGAAGACCACTCCATAATTAATCCACTCATTTTGTATGATAAAATTTTAAAATAGTGACTAAATTATGTTAAAAGTAATATTTTAGATGTTAAACTTTTAAAAGTTATATAATTGATATTAAATTTCAATTTTTTTTATAATAGTTACAAAAATTTTATTTGACATTAAAAGGGTAAAGTGATATATTAAATTAATAAAATAGTTTTATTTACCTCTCAATTATAAATATAGTTTCATTTTTGATAATTTTCAATATTTTTTAGGTAATAATTTTAAAAATATATATTTTTAAATGTATAGAAATTCATAATTTATTTTTAAGATTATAAGTTATAACTTTATGAATTTGTTAATTTATCAAACTATTTTATAAATAATTTTTTTATTTAATTATGATTAAATTTGTAAAATTTATAATTTTCAAGATCCAACCATTTGAATTATCATAAGACAAAGTCAATTTTTTTTGTTAAGAAACTTTTTTTTTTGTAAATTTAAAAATAATTTAATATATATATATATATTTATTGTAACACTGTAAACCAGAATGGACTTAAATACCACATTGGGTTGTCAAGGCAACTCTTGATTTTCAAAATCTGTTTATTTTCATTTAAAACATGGTGAATGGTATCATAAAAATACAATTAAAAATTATAAAACAATTTTACAAACCAGAGCTCCGTGACACATAATTTAAAACCAAAATAATACAACCTAAGTTTTTCAACTCAAATACGTAAGTAAAGTTCTATGAATACACATGCCCACTAAAACTACAGTACAATACTTTGAAGGAGATGCTGGAAGTCCTGTTGTGACAGTGCTCCACAAACTGCTCAAGCTACTGACCTGTCAACGAAAAACATCTGAAGGGTAAGATTACAAAGCCCAACAGTATAATCTCTAATCTAGAACAACATTATGAGTTCCATAAACATAAGCATGCTGACATGTTATTAAGCAGTAAGTACATGCATGATCTAGATAAAGTGCTACCTACTTAAGGCTTAATTGTTCTATCACTAAAGTAGTAGTCTTACATTTCCCTTAATCTTCTACTAAGTTTCTTGCCATGAGTACACCGCTAAAGAGTCTCTAACCCTAATCACTGCAACTATTGTGCATTATCTAAATACAACATTGACACTCTTGTGCATTATATGAATGCAAAGCTGACTAGTATCTGGTCTCATATAGCCATTAGGCACTAGTTAACTAAGGGAACCTAGTGTCACATAGTATCGGTACAATTCCCACTAAGCTACTGAATGATCTCATGGTCCTCACATAGCCATCAGGTATATCCTTGAGAGGGAACCCGATCATCATATAGCAATCGGTAATTCCCACTCTATTGAAGCATTGGCTCGATCTCATACAGTTGTCAAGCCAAGATTTAAGGATATTTGTTGTACTGGACTGATGTAACTATACATGCATAACTAAAGCCAAAGGCCCACAACACTGACATCGCAAATCCACTCCTCGCGAGTGTTTAGGCCTCGCGCCCTAGTTAGCCCATGAAATGCCTCACGCACTGACAATGCCCCTCTAGGGAAACTAAGCAGTCTAACTACACACTAGTGTAGCTGGACACACTAAAGTAAGGTCGTCCTCTCACTAGCTGTTATCTTGCTTGTCCTCTTATCTATCGTATATCTTACTTATATTACACACATTAGCTCACACATATACACTTGGGCTAGTATCGTTTTTTGCACTTTACGACATTGAGGCAATATATAATGGTCTAGTGACTAGAGTGCGCCGCACTCCCTTGGCAACATTCGTCTTTGCGATAAGGTACAACTTTTACCAAAGTTAAAAGTTCTTTTATTCTACTGATTTTTTTCTCTTTTCTTAAATGTCATCTTATCCAATGCCACCAGGCATGGTTAACTTATTTTTCTTCTTAAGTTTAATTATAGAAAAAAATACTTTGTAATTTACAAAAGAAACAACATTTTCTCCAAGTTTTCTCAAGGGTGCAAGGCCGCTCAAGGCGCTAGGACCCTTATATTGCCTCAAGCAGAAAGCGTTAGCCTGAAGTAAAGACGCAATATGTAAATGTGAGTTCTTGTATGTGCTGTGCGTTTATAAAGCTTAAGGCTTATAATAAACTCTAAAATTTGGGCATGTTTATATAAAAACATGCAATATTCTTACTAGTCAATATGCATGATTCCCTCAAAGGGCCTAAATTGAATTATTAAATTTTGAGAGGCTCCAAAATGCAACGTCTCCATTTTAGCACATCTTACAACTCTGAAAGCTTGGAATATTTTCAGGTTACTAGATTCATATTTGCTTGTTGGTAATCGTTACGCCATAGTTAAAATGACTCGAGCAAGTACTTATTGTTTTCTTGACAGTTTTAACAATTTTTTGTGCTAAATTTGTATTTAAGAAGGAAAAAAAAAAGAGGAGTTCCATTCCGTCAACATTGTGAATTATCAGGTTTTTCTTGGTGTAGGTACTGCCCGCAATGCAAGGAACAACGACGAGCAAGTAAAAAGCTTGATTTATGGAGGCTTCCCGAAGTTGTAGTCATTCATCAAAAAAGATTCTCGTACAGCCGGTCAATGAAGCATAAAGTAGAAACTTTTGTCAACTTCCCTATTCACGATTTTGACCTAACGAATTATGTAGCTGACAAGAGAAGTTCCCGTTCTCAACTCTACGAACTCTATGCCTTAACCAACCCTTATGGTGGCATGGGCAGTGGCCACTACACCGCGCACATCAAAGTAAGTTAGAACCATCTATGTCCTTCTGAAATGGAATATCGGTTCATGTGCACATCGTTGCGTAGTTTTTTTTTCTAGGGCAGGGGACTTGGTCATGAATGCTGCATCTGTTTCAATTTTTATGACTTTTCAGTCAAGCCCATTTATTTGTCTTATCTTTCTTCTGGCTCTCGTCTTTCATCTCGTTCGAGTACTCTTAACTGGACCTTAGATTTCTATTGGGACACAGATTTTATATGGTTTTGACTTTGGTGTGTCGGATAGGATATGTGTCCGTCTTAGGCGTGTTCAATCTTTTCTAGTTTTTCATGTATTTGGAGGATCTTTATGGGTCATATAATTAAAGAAGAGAAATGAAAAGTATGAACAACATAGCCCCGATAGTCACAAATGGCTTGTGTTGATGCATAAGATATGCATCTCATCATACTGTTTTCTGCTGATTATGTTGTTTGCAGCTTCTAGACGAGAATAGGTGGTACAACTTTGACGACAGCCATATATCACCAATAAACGAAGAAGATGTAAAGTCGGCTGCTGCGTATGTCCCGTTTTATCGAAGAGCAAAGTCCGATACCTCAGGCAGCGGTGTTGCAGGGTCTCGTAGAGCTCGTGACATAACGTCTTATAAGCATTGAAGTGCAGGCACATGCTTTAAAAGTATTCGCTCCATGCGCTGCTTAACAGTAATCACTAACCTATTGCCTGACAAAAACATTGTGTCAAAGAGTTATATTTGATCGAAACTTAGACACTCAAATTTTGTTAGGTCATTGTATTGTTGAAACTACGAGTATCTTAACACCCGGTTCGAGTGGCTGGCAGCTTAATAAAGTATTTTCAATATTTGTTTTTATTAATTTTAGCAATGGAAAATCTCAATTCGAATATGAACTCGAATAATTGTGTAAAGGGAAACATTATATCGTAAATGAGATATCTTTGCTCCCAGGCTATTTGAGAAAAACTCAAATTATGCTAGGGAATTATCAAGTCAAAACTAGATTTTTTTTTTAATTTGGGTAAATATATATTTAATATCTGAACTTGGTTTCAAGTTGCAATTCAGTTTAAATATTTTTTTTGGTTCAATTAGGTACTCATTTGAATTAAGGTTCAATTTGTTTTTTTTGTCTAATTAGGTATGTAAACTTGATTTTTAAGTTCAAATTGATACCTAAATTTGGTTTAGTCGACTATCGTAATACGAACTTCGACTATCGCAATGCGAACTTGGACTATCGCAATGCGATAGTCGAAGTTCGCATTGCGATAGTCCAAGTTCGCATTGCGATAGTCCAAGTTCGCATTGCGATAGTCGACTATCGCATTGCGATTTACATATCGCATTGCGATTTACATATTCGCATTGTGATAGTCCAAGTTCGCATTGCGATAGTCCAAAATCGCAATGACTGGTAGTATTGCATTTGTTTCTTAAGAATTTTCTCTAAAAAGATAGTATTCGCGTGGTCGTGGTCGTAGTAATACGTGTCTTCAACACGTCCGCGCAAATACTATCTTTTTAGAGAAAATTCTTAAGAAACAAATGCAATACCGTCGTTGCGATTTTGGACTATCGCAACGAACTTGGAATAAATCGCAACGCGAACTTGGACTATCGCAACGAATTTGGAATAAATCACAACTCGAACTTCGACTATCGCAACGAACTTGGAATAAATCGCAACGCGAACTTGGACTATCGCAACGAATTTGGAATAAATCGCAACGCGAACTTGGACTATCGCAACGAATTTGGAATAAATCGCAACGCGAACTTCGACTATCGCAACGAATTTGGAATAAATCACAACGCGAACTTGGAATAAATCACAACGCAAACTTGGACTATCGCAACGAATTTGGAATAAATCGCAACGCGAACTTCGACTATCGCAACGAACTTGGAATAAATCACAACGCGAACTTGGACTATCGCAATGCGAATATGTAAATCGCAATGCGATAGTCGAAGTTCGCGTTGCGAATCTGGAAACTGATTTGCGATACAGGAGATCGCGTTGCGAATTATCGATCGCATTGCGATTTAGTTGGTCATTTTGGCAAATCCAAAAAAAATTGGTTAAAATCGTATATTGTAAGACATTTTTTGTCACTGAGGTTATTTTCTCTTAAATATATATAAAAGATAAAATTATATTTTAATAATTTAATATATACAATATTATGGTCTAAGTTTAGGTTTCGAAAAAGGAAAATAGTAAGTTCTCGTTAAACTCATTTATTTGTATAATAAAATTATTTATTAAATAAATAACAGTACCGTAATGCACTAAAATTTAATATAAAAAAATACATACAATATTATGAAGTGTTGCTTAAGATGTATAATTAAAAAGATGTCCTCTACGGTCCTTATCCAAGCTTGTTAAACTAAAAGATTTGAAGAATACTCTTGTGTGGAATTACAAACAAATAAGCTGGAATAGCTCCGTTGGTTAGAGCGTGTAGTTGTTAACTACGAGGTCGGAGGGAGGTTCAAGCCCTCCTTCTAGCGTTTACGTAATATGGGTCTTCTACTACTCTTTTTAATTGCAATAACCTAATATTATTGTTAAATAAAATAATTTGTAAACGGGGCACCAAAGGCCTATTAGCTCAGCTGATTAAAGTGTCATGCTAATAACGCGAAGTTTGCAGGTTTAAGACCTGCATGGGCCAATTTTGTTTTACACTTTTTCCAAACACACATGACTTGGTTTATCCTGAACATGGAGGCCAATCCAAGGCAAAAATGGTTCAACTAACGAAAGCATGTGGGAGTGAATGAAGGAAACAATTGGAATCCATCTGTTGGGGAACAAGTGTAGGCTGCAGCAATGAAGTTAAAGAAATTCAACTACTGCGGGAGCCAGGAAGAATTCATCCGATGGGAACAAATGGTTCAACTACTGCTGCCGGAGGCTCAACTTCATCGGAAGAATATGACTGACAGTCCTTCTTGTATTATATGTGGATATGTCATGAAATCAATTGATCATGTAGTTCGCAATTATCTCAGTACAACCTATAATGATTAATGAATAACATGTTTTTTTCACGATGGAGTTTTTACCATTTGTGTTTCATCAAGAATCTCTCGGTATCCTTTACCTTTCGGTGTGTCGTTTACAATAATGTTGTAGGGTTTGTGCAAGTGTCGAAGGATTTTTCAAGGTGGGCGATCATCATCTTCTTCGGTGATTATACACGCTAGTAAATCTTTTAGAGAGACTTTGCTGGTTCATCATGTGGCTAAATGTCCGAGGTGCGTTCAGTGGTTAAAACCAGTTCCGTCGACTTGTTTACTATTTTATGTTATGATAAATCTGAATTTCTAAATTACGTAACTATTTATGAGAAATTTCTTTCCATACATGAATATTAACCATTTATATTCGGTTGTGGATTTTCAATTTCCTTGAACGGTGTTCCTAGATTACTGACTTGACCAACATGACAATCAAATTGTATTTAGTCATCGGGAAAGGTTGGTTTGTCACCCATCATGCGTATGCAATAAGGAGAATGGAGTCTATATTGGTTGTCTTTAACTCTTAGGATGAAAGGTGGGTTACCATTTAGGGTAAGAGAAAGACGAGCCTTTTGTTTTTTTGCTTTAGAAAGAATGGGTTTAGGATTTTCTTTTCTTCTTGGATGATGATCACTCCTTATTGTAAGATCCAATGAATTTTGTTTGGTAAGCTGGCTGAAAGAAAATTCAATTTTAGTGCTAGATACATAGAGAAAACATCTTTCGGAAGAATAATTTTGAATATTTAATATCTTTTAGGAAGTCACGACTAGTTAATATAATCTTTGACAGGTCTACATGACCTACCATATAATCAAATCCAGCGTCACCTGATCGTATAACATGTCAGTTTATAAGTAGCCATTATAATCCTAAGCCTGACACACATTAACACATCCTTATAAAACCTCTCAAGCATGACCCAGAGAAAAGATGTAACCTCAATAAAATCATCTCGCCTTAACTCTTCTTTTCCCTACGTCTTCATAGAGAGAGAGAGTATTTTAACACCAATTCACGGTCGATCCACCACTGATTATATCTCTTTATCCAAATTAGAAAGGATAGTTTGTCAATAGCCATCGTAACTTATTTGAACCCCTCAACAATTATCATATCGGAGTTTAGGCACATTTGATATTGTATTGAATTTCCACCAATTGCATGGTAGATGTGATAAAAGAACCTCAATCACACTGTCATTATGATTGAAAATAATATCTAGGGGAGTTCAAAATTTCGGTTAACCGATTAAATTGATCGATAGAATTTTTTTTTTGTTAATCAGTTGGTTAAAGATTATTGATTTTTTTCAAAGTTTGGTTATCGGTTAATTAACCGAATTAACCAAAATTTTTAAATTTTTATTTTTTTTTAATATATTATTTATGGTATTTATATACTAATTGAGTCGGGAGTGTTTAAATTCCGGTTTTAATTAAATTAACTGAAAATATTTTCGAAAAAATTTCGGTTCGATTAACGGTTAAAGCGAATAATTTTTTATTAATGAAATTTTGAAAGTTCGGTTCAGTCTGTTAATCGAATCGGCCGGTTGAACCCCTCTAATAATATCAGGCCATTGGAAGCGACTGGGAGTATCATTGCTGTACATACTCACCATCCAGCTTTCGTCTCCAACGCTAATTCTATCGATTATGGAAATTGTATGGAAGAAGAAGAAAAAGGCTCGAATAGCTCTGTTCGATAGAGCGTGTGGCTCTGAACAACCTTGTTGGAGGTTCAAGCCCTCCTTCTAGTGTTTTCAGATTTTGGATCTTCTACTTCTCCTTTTACTTGCAATCTGTTAACCCAATAATATAGTTCTATAAAGAAACTCGTAATTTCTTGAACACAGGTCTATTAGCTCAGATGTTTATAGAGTTCTATTAATGTGAAGGTCACAAGATCAAGACCTGCATGGGCTATTCACCCCCCCCCCCTTTTCACACTTTTTCCAATCCTCCGACTGGAATCAGTCTGGTGGGTGAAATAAAGGCAAAATGGTTCAACTAACGAAGCAAGTTGGAGTGAAGGTAACAAATGGAATTCACCTCATGGGAACAAATGGTGTAGCCGGAAGCAATTAAGTTAAAAAAAGTACATGTTGTGGAACCAATTGATCATGTTGTTTGCGATACTGTTGTGACTCCCTAATTTCGGTGTGACCTACAAGTGATTAATGAATAACATGACTACTTTCGTCGTTGGATCGTTACCAATTGTGTTTAATGAAAATCCTCTCGGTATGACTTACCTTTGGGTATGTTGTTTACAATAATGTTGGATCTGCTAGTAAATTTTTTAGAGAGAATTTGTTAGTTCTCTGGGTCTGTTGGTTCATCGTGTGACTAAATGTCCAAGCTGAGTTCAATTGCTAAGTGATGAGCATGGGAACTTTAAGCAAGAGAATCCATTTCGACTCCCCATATTCCATGGGAGACCAAAGATGTGTTTAGGGAAAGAGGTGATTTAGAATAACCAAGTAATCATTTAACCGAAATTTGCATCAATGACAATAACAACAGATAAGCAAGATGGGAAATCATAAGTGAAATCTACAATCGACATAGTAGTAGATGCGAGATGAGCCAATATATAAGCTGCAACATTCGCAGTGCGTCAAGGACAT